CAAAATTTGTATTGCTTGTAAGTAGGGTTTCGAGACTACCAGTAAATCAGATATATGAGATGCGTTAACCATTTTCGTTTAAGGCTATGATTTATCGATAGTATTAAAAACCTACATACAAACAAAAAACTAAGTATTTTAGTCGATTGTTATAGCAAATTTAACTTCGCCTCATCGACACTTCTTCAACAGAATGTAATATGAGCGGATACATGGGCTTCCATGAAATTTACATCTGCCCTTTGACCCAGGAGCACTCGTTGCCATTTAGCTTAGTGATTAACATGTCGAGATTACGCGCTGCACTGGTATGGTTATAGTCCCACTGGTGGTGTTGATACTAACTAGGTGAGGTCAAAACTGCAGCCACCCTGAATAAAAATACTTTTTGGGAAGCAAGGCTATTTGAAGCTCAATGGAAGTATAGGGTCCACTCATATCATCGGAGAAAAATTCAACTACCAGTCTTTCATCACCTTAAACACTTCCCATAAAATGGGCATTGGAAGGATCCGTAACTAAGGCTGGGTGCAAAAGCAAAATTTTTTGTGTTCTCGCTTTTATTCTATATTTTGCTGAGGGGGAGAGGTGGGATCAATGCTTAAAGATGTTCTAATTCCACCGGATCAGCTGAAGAGACAGGGTTAAAATTGCAGATCAGGCGGGGAATATGAGCGATCTTTTGAGATTCATGGCGAAATATGATGGATGCAAAATCAAGACTTATCCTCTGTTCATCATGGGAAAAGTCAATGTCAGTCAAATATAAAAAATAGTCAAAAACAGCACAACAATATTCAGGTTCTCGAAGGTCTATCATTAATCCAGAATGCTGATAATAAGTCAAGATCTGAAAGTGAACAGAATCTAGTAGCGTTGGGTTGAATGAGGGCATCACGATAAGAGCCAAGCTGACAAGCTGGGAAGTTGTGCGATGCCGGTGAGGGCGCTTGCATGCGTGTAGGCTGGCACAAAGCAACAGACAAAGATACAAGATGGCTAATGTCGTCATGTCTGTAGAATAAAACACACAAAACACTAATTAGGCTAGTTGTCTACAAGAGGAAGATTAGATTTAAAAAATTATAGATATGAAGACCAAGATGTTGTGGCATCTAGTATGGTCGCAGTCTCCTTTCGATTTAGAGAAATGGGTTGACCTCGTTGTCGCAGCTTGGTCTTGTTGTCAGGGCGACTTAGTAAAGCGTACCTAGTTCGAAGTCGTCTGCCATAGTTGTTGTCATGATTCTTAGCATCAGACAGTGGACTTGGTAAATTCTAAAACGTTTCACCGGCATCATAGTCGGCATCATCAGTGAGTGCTGCCCTTCTCCGCAACAAGGTACGAACTCGTCAAAATCACATGTTGACCATGGTCTATGAAATTTAGTCAAAGTCCGATCTCGATGACGCTCCCTCGATGTGATGAGGCCTGGTCATCTAATTGTAATGAAAAACAACTCCTATTCTTTAAATAACCTAGCACCACCTAGGGTCTTAGTCAAGAATTAATGATAGTTTATAAAACTACTTATACCGAAAATAAATAGCTCCGTCGCCAATCCCACTAAAATGTGATTTAGGAGAGGCCTGATCTGCCAATTTAATCTGCCCAACTCCGAATCTTTTGTCCTCTTTACTAGTTTTAACCTTCGCTTAGTTTCCAATCTACGCCCTCTCAAGAGATCGTTCTGTTACATGAAAGCGAATTGCGAAAGGGAAAAACACAGTGCCCAAACGGACCAGACCATCACTGCTTGTGCAGCAGACAGTCAAAAACGCAAGTTAAAATTTTTCCGTCATATTTTTAGAAATATACAAACATAAGCCTTCTACTCGGTGGAGATATTCAAGCACATTTGGATTTGCAGTATAGCAGACTGACAGAAAACCTATTAATTATTATTAGTTAGTAGTATTTATCTATTATTATTATTATTATTACAGAGCCGCCCTATTAGTGAGCTCCCTTTGTGCCACTTCTACTAGAGTTTCATGAATACAGCAGACAATATAGAGCTAAAGGCTAAGTCAACAATACAATGTTTGCCAAGATTATTGGTAGGAACTTGCATATGAGAACTGTATTCACCCGATTTGTTCAAGGTGATAACTAATTGATTGTCCACAATGTTTCCACAATGTTTCTACAATGTTTCCACAATGTTTCCACAATGTTTCCATAATTTTTCCACAATTTTTCCACAATTTTTTCACAATTTTTCCACAATTATCGAATAAGGCCTCAATTTTCTATTAGAATGATATTGAAAAGGCTTGGCCTTCATCGAAATCCACACAAGTCCTGTGACCTAAGAGCGCTCGTGGGTATTTGGCCAGTATCATGAGTTGTAGGAAGTAAAATTCTATGACTGCTTCAAAGTTAGATAATACTTCGAAATGTAAAATACTTTTATGCTACCAGTGAACAGGTCTTAAGATTATCATTAAATCTGGACTAAGAACTCGAGTAGGCATAAAATAAATTTCTCATAACAAAATGTTTAAAAGGCCTCCGTTTATACATTTAATCCTTCATAGCTTAATTACTTGTTTTGATCCTCTTCTTTTTAACTACAGTGCCTGAATTATATATGCAGTTTGTGGTGTAGTCATCTTGTCAGAAAGCTTTAATTGATGGGAGGAGACCTTTTATTTATCCTGAAGCTGGTCAACAATCAGATTAACCGTCGCTTGCTTCTCAAGCCAGAAGGGCCGAGGAAAGATGTTTCCAAAAATGGATTTAGCTCTTGTTACAGATGGAAAGAAGGAGTTTTTCCGCAGGAAACAGCAGTTAAATCAGTTTTGAAGGGGACAGCTATCTCGTGAAAGAAATATTGAAAGGTCGCCTTCAGGCTAGTCTCCAGGCTTGAATGAAATGACCATGCTGATGGTATCCAAAAATTGGACCAAGACTGAGAACATGGTACCTGACAACCCTATTTGGGGAATGCTGGACCTATCGTGTAAGAGAGTTGAGGCGAAACGCCGGTTCACCCTCCACCAGATCCTTAAGGCTCTCTTCGTTAGTCTTTACCACGTCGATAATCCCTTCGTCTCCAACCTCGGATACCGTGACACAGACATTCTCTGACAAAATATGATTTCATGATACAACGACTTTTGGTCATTTACGACGGTACCATCTTAGACGAATGCTTTTATATTTCAACTTCTTAGGAGGTGCAATCTTACCTAGACTTGGTACTGCTCACATTTATTTACTTATACAATCACATGCATTCGATCTTGTCAACAGCATGTGGGCCTGAAAGCGTTTGCCTCTTCGTCTCTTACTGGCCGTGTCAGATCAAGATCTAAAGATTTGATTGCTCAACTAATCTTAAATTTTATCGCTAAAATCTTTGGTGCCTGATGAAAAGCCTTTGTAAAAGCTCGAGTCCTCTTCAAAATTTCGGTTCTTGCTCAGTCTTCCAGCCTGTATCTTCCCACCCCTCATTGGGCCAGAGACTACTCGACACTTAGTCGTTAATTTCTCAGAAATTCTTCGTCAATCTCAGCCATCCTTGAGCATTCTCTAGTGATTTAGAAGAAAAACAACCATGCTAAAAAGTAGGATTTGGATAAAATTATGCTGTAAAGCTGGCTAATAGAGGCAAAATTTTTCAATATTTAAAATGATCAATGTCTCTTAGTGATAGAATAAACAGAGTCAGGACATTTTATCTACAAACGACAAAATGAAGGTAATAAAGAGAGAGGAGCTTTCCTTAAACTCTACTGTCCTATTCGAACTGAAAAAATACCTTTATCCAGGATGCGAGGTAGTTTTCTTCTTACCAAAGCTTCAGTAGCACTCTCAATGATACTCGAATGATGTAAACACGAGCTTTGAAATTAACAGGATTTGCCTTCGAACGCTAAAACCAAGCGGCATCGAGAAGTCAGACAATCATAGCTTTAAAGACAAAGCAAGCCCTTCTAATGTCGCGTTTGCAGTGCTTAATCTCCAATTGACCTGCAACTCGATATGGTACCAAAGTGCATTTATGATAGTTACGACACAAATGACCACTGAAAACATTTGATTAATGAATCGAGGTTAATCAAAATATATTCCGAATGAGCATGTATTGGAACTAGCATTGGATCTTAAATAAGAACTTTGGTTATTATAGGTCGCTTAAAGTGGCGCAAGAACTGATGGTTAGATTTTACACATAATTCTAGGGAATTCTGCACATAAAACGAGATTCGAAACTTGGTTATGTCCCATTGGGATGCTGAAGTATCCCAGGCGAGGTCAAAATTGTAGTTCGCTCTGGATAATATAACTTGCAGGCAAGATGAAGTGGACTTCATTAGCATAGCGAGGCCTAGTTATTTCATTGTGGAGAATCCAACTATCAGTTCTTACATCAACTTAAGCGGCATAGAGTGACTCGAGTTTTTATTTACTCTACTACTTACGGAAATCCTCATTAAAAATGTTAATTGACGAAGGCCTGATTTGGCTTAGAAGTAGTGCTTATTTTATAAATCAGCGGAATTAGCCCTGCTTGGTCTATCAACACAGTATTCAATGGCCCG